GCAATTGTCCAAATTTTAAATCAATTAAAATTGTCCATTTAGGTCATTTTTGGACCATTTTGGTGCTTTTTGACCTTTTTATATGTGTCCTAAATAGGCAAAGATTATCTTATTGCCAAATACGGACTAAATCAACAAAATAATCAAAATTAAAAAATTGTTCTACAGTTCTTAATAGTCAAAATGTCCTAAAAATGACCTAAATGGTCAAAAATTGATCTAATTGTAAAAAATGAACTGACCTAACAAAATATTAAAAATTAAAAAACTTGTTTAAATGACAAATGGATAAATATAGTACATTTTTTGGTACATTTAGGTCATTTATTGACCATTTAGGTCCTTTCTGATTTTTTGTTAGTTAACCTAAATGGTCAATAATATTCTAATTGTCAAAATTAAACTAAATCAACAAAATAATGTAAATTAAAAAACTATCCTACTGTTCTAAATGGTCAAAGTGTCCTAAAAATGACCTAAAATGGCAAAATTGTACTATGTGTAAAACATAAGCTGAATTAATATTATCTTATTGTCAAATGCGGACTAAATCAACAAAATAATCGAAATTAAAAAATTTTTCTACTGTTCTTTAATAGTCAAAATGTCCTAAAAATGACCTAAATGGGTAAAATTGACCTAATTGTAAAAAATTAACTGTCGTAATAAAATATTTGAAAATAAAAACTTGTTAAATTGACATACAAATAAATATAGAACATTTTGTTGTGAATTAAGGTCACTTTTTGGTAAATTAGGTCATTTTTGACCTTCTTTAGTTGACCTACATGGACAATAATAATCAATTTGACCTATGTGTAATAAGTAAACTGAATTAACAAAATAATTTACATTAAAAAATTTGTTCAAGTGACAAATTATTTGAACATATTATGTTTTATGGTACATTTAGATCATTTCTTGACCATTTAGGTCAGTTTTGACTTTTCCATAACTGATCTAAATGGGCAAGGATGACCTAATACTCAAAAAGTAATTAAATCAACAAGTAATCAGAATTGAAAAACAATTATCCTATTGTCTATAATGATCAAATTGTGCTAAAAATTACCTAAATGGGCAAAATTGACCCAATTTTGAAAAACGAGCAGACAATCTAAATTAAAAATACTTGTCCACGTAAAAAATGAATAAAAATCAACATAAATGACCTACATTGGACAAAATTGACCAAAAATAGTCTAAATTAGGCAATTTGACCTAAAATGACCAAAAACGACCTAAAATGACCTAAATGGGCAAAATGGCCCAAATTACGAAAATAATTAAATTTTGAATTTTAATAAAAAAAATTTCTCGATTTTTATGTTTTTTCAAAAAATACAATTTCTCAACATTTATTGGCTAATCGATCTAAGTTTAAATACACTGAATAATTTTGTTTATTGAAAACAAGTTAATAAAAAAAATTATTTTTACATTTAAAATCGCAATAACAATTTTGTTTTATTATTTCTTGCAAAAATTGACAAATATTTCGAAATTTCTAGAGAAAAAAATTTTTTTTTTATCACACTGTGTTCCAATGTATGTCATTCATTGCATATAGATATTCGTGAAGTGTAGCACGGACAGTAAGTTGTTCCATGGCACGTGTACTGTATACAGAATTTCATACTCGAAGAAGGGAGTGGTAGGTGGTGGTGGTGATGATAGTTGGTAGGAGGGAAGTTAGTGAGAAATATGTTCATGTTCCTGGCAACTCTGGACACGGTTTTGCGATGCAAATTGTTGCTTGAAATGGGATTTTAGCGCATGGTCTTATACATTATACAAAACCAAACAAAGTCAATTAATTAAGTTTTATTTGAAAAAAAGAAAATTAAAAATAATAATATTCTCGTAATTTCACGCCAACTTTAATTTTATATTGTAAAAGAAGAAAAAGAAAATTTGTAAAATTATTGTAAAATGTCAAGTTGTGAAAAGTTAATTAAATTTTCATGAAGAAAATTAAAGCAACGACGACGAGAGAGCGCGCGCACACGTTCTGCCCAAAGCTTTGTAAAACTTTTTGTTCGATAATAAATATTAATTCCCCTTTTTAGTTTCTTTCAAAGCGAAGCTTAATTTATATATAGAAGAAAAGAATGTGAAAAGAAACCCAAGAAGATGGATGAGAGCAAGACTTCGATTGATGTAGTGCTCTTTCCAAATAAAGAGGAAAGTTTTTCTTTGATGGCGATTCTATTTTTTTTTCTCTCCAAAAAAAGGGGAAAAAAAATTTTCAGAGATTTTTCATTTTTAATATTATTTTAAGATTTTAAAAAAGCGTCTATTAATGAATAGTAAAAAAAAATTATTTCTGATTTGTTAATAGAAATTATTTAAAGGAAGACATAAACTATTAAAATTAGTTATTAAATATTTATTTGAATTCGATCTACAATTGACCAATTTTGACCAAAAGAAAAATTACGAAATTTCAAAATTTTCAAAATCAAACAATACTTAATAAAAATTGATAAAAATTGCGTAAATTGGACAAAATTGACCTAAAATGGGCAAAAAGACCTAAATGGGCAAATTGACCAATTTGTGAAAAATAACCTGTACTAACAAAATAATTTTAATTGAAAAATTTATTCAATTAATAAATTGACGAAAATGGTTCATTTAGGTCATTTTGGAACATTTCGGTCCTTTTAGACATTTTAGTAGCTGACCAACAAGGTCAAAGATGATATAATTGTGAAATAAAACTGAATCAACGAAATAGTCTAAATTAAAGAATTATCCCACAGTTCAAAATGATCCAAATGGCCAAAAACTGACCTAAATGGGAAAAATTGACCTACTTTTAAAAAATGACCTGAATTAACAAAATAATCTTAATTGAAAAGCTTATCCAAATAATAAATAAACAAAAATAATATATTTTTTAGGTCAATCTTTGACCATTTAGGTCGTTTTTGACCTTTTGGTAATTTTTTAAATGGGCAAAGATGATCTATTTGTCAAATAAAACTGATTTAATAAAATAATCTATAGTAAATAATTATCTTACTATTTTATATATTCCAAATGGCCTAAAACTGACCTAAATGGGCAAAATGGACCTAATTTTAAAAAATGGCACGAGGTAATAAAACAATCAGAATTGAAAAACTTATCCAAATAATAAATGGACAAAAATGGTACAATTTTTGGTACATTTAGATCGTTCTTTGACAAATTAGGTCGTTTTTGACCTTTTTATAGTTGATCTAAATGGGCAAAGATGATCTAATAGTTAAACAGAACTGAATGAAAGTTATAATCTTAATTAAAAAAGTATTCCACTGTTCTAAATGATCAAAATGTCCTAAAAATAACTTAAGTGGGCAAAATTGATCTAAATTTAAAAAGTAAACTATTCTATCAAAACATTATAAATTAAAAAATTTTTTCCATATGATAAATGGATGAAAATTGTATATTTTTTGTTTTAGTTAGGTCATGCCATGACCATATAGGTCTTTTTTTGGCTTTTTCGTAGCAGACCTAAATGGGCACAAATAATCTAATTGTCAAATAGAACTGAAGCAACGAAATAATTTAAATAAAAAAATTATCCTACTTGTTCTAAATGGTACAAATCGATTAAAACTGACCTAAATGGGCAAAATTGACCTAATTATAAAAAATTGACTTGAATTAACAATTAATCTAAATTAACATAATTATTCGTACGACAAAAAGGAACTAAAGTGACCAAAATTAACCTAAACTGATAAAAATTGGGCAAATTTGACCTAAAATGACCAAAAATGACCTAAATGAGCAAAATTGGCCTAAGTACGAAAAAATCTAATTCTTTAGTTTAATGTATAAATTATTCGAATATCGGGGTTTTTTTAAATGTTGTTTTTGATTGGACCAACAGCATTAGAAGCAACGATTAACCAATTTGGGGTAAAAAAAATTCGTAATTTCAAATTTTCGATATAAACTCCCACTTAGAAAACGTAAGAAGATTGTCTCGTTTGGAAAAAGTTTTGGATGGAATGTTCTGTTAGATTTTTCCACACCAAGTTTTGTAGTTTATTCTTTTATCCCTTTTGCGACCTCATTGGATATTTAGGAAAAAGTTTTTAACTTACACATACGGGTTACTTAGTTTATCTTTTAGTTTGAGATTTCTTCGTGCTTCAAGTACTCATTACGTTTTACAAGAAAACTCTTCTTTATTCCATTTAATTATTGTCTCTTATTTTTTTTTATTTGTCAACATTTTGTAAAAAGAAAAATTTTCCTTTTTTTGTAAGAAAATTAAAAAAAAAATTTTTTAATTATTATTAAATTTTTAAAAATTAAATTTTTTTTTCAATTTTTAAAACAAATATTTTTTTATAATTACAAATGGGAAAAGAAATTTTTTTTTGCAGAAATTATTTTTCTGAAATAATTAATTTTATTGCAAAAAATAAGAAATCTAATTGTGTCGTGAAATAGGTTAAGAGACACGTGGATGTAAAACTGGCAAATAACACAGTTCATTTATAAGTTAAACTATCGTGAATTAATAATTTTATTTGTAAGTTCTATAGATAGTAATTTACAAGTTTCTTACTTTTTTTTGTCTATAAAAAGAACAGTCAATTAAATATTCGCGCGATTCAAATAGGACATGTATTTTAATCAAAATTAATAATTTACATTGCAAAAAACTTTTTTTTCTATTTTGTCATTGGCTATTGTTAATAATTTAATTTTTAATATTTATTTTTTTGCAAATAATAAGTAACTTTACTTATTATTAATTTTTATTTCAAAAATAATATATAATTTTTTATTTTACAATTTTATTTTATTATATTTAATTATATTTAATTATAATACTAATATTTAATGCTTAGCATTGAAATTTTTATTTTTTGAATATATTTTATTTTTCAAAAACAAATTTAAAAAGAAAAAAAATTTTTTTTTTTTAATAAATAAAAAAAACGATTTTTTTATGAGGAAAAGGTAATTTGAGAAAAAAATTAACAAGACACTTTCATAATCACAACAGATATTATATAATAAATCGTATCTTTACAGAGGCTAATACATTGCAAAATAAACAAAGATATTGTTTTCGAAATATACACGCGTTTAATTCGTACGATGATTCAGAGAAATCGATCGGCATCACCATCCCTACTATTTACAAATATTTAAGAAATTTCCTCCAAATTTCCACCTTTTTTTCCAATAATCCATCTTTTTTTGTTCACTCAAAATTTATGTGAGAAAAAAAATATATTTATAATTTATTTAATTTTTAATCAACTTTAAAAAAAAATAACAATTCGAATTATAATCATTTTTTGTTAATTTCAATTGAATTTTTACTAATATTCTGTCAAAATTACCCCGCACTATGGGGTAAAATTACACAATGATAATGGGGTAATAGGACACATATAAACAAAAAATTAGTAAAATTGTCAAATTTTCCTTCAATTTTTATTCGATTGTCAAAATTACCCCGCATGATTATTACACCATACTAACGGGGTAATATGACTCAAAACAAAAATTGGTGAAAAAAATTTTTTTTTCAATGTTTATTCAATGGTCAAAATTACCCCGCATGATGGGGTAATATTACATCATAACAATGGGGTAAAATTGTCAATTTTTTATTCAATTCATTTTCTTTAGTTTAATTGACAATAAAAATTTTTTTTTTTTTCACATAAATTTCACCATCTTTTTTTTATTTCAACTGCTTTTTAAGCAGGAAAAATCATCTCGCTATTTATCAAATCCACTTGCCAATCTCAGTAATTCATAATTACAGAAATCGTTCGCCGAATGAGAATATACATTAAATATATATATATATATATATATATATATATATATATATATATATTTATATATAGCGTGCAACGTTCACAGATCTCTAAATCTTATTTGTTATTAAAATTCATTTTCTTAAATTTCGATTTGAGTTAAAATTTAACAAAAAAAAATAGGTTTTTCCATTTTTTCGAGGTATTTCCACTCAAATCGTTATTTTAAAAATTATAAAATAATAAAATATTAATAATAATAATAATAATAATAATAATAATAATAATGCTAGAACGTATTATTTGTTGCTTTATGTACAGTTTGCCGTTAAAGCTTTTTCCAACAAATGGAAATTAAAAATTTATAACTTGCAGTTGAGAAAATTTTTCTAACATTTAATATTCAATGAATTTTTTTTTTCTGAAAAATGAATATTTACAGAAAATGTCAAGTTTTTCAACTTTTTTTAATTTAGCAAATTTTTTCAAATTTGGATCATTTTTGGACAAATAGGTCATTTTTTGGACAATTAGGTCAATTTTTGGTCATTTGATCAATAAGGTCATTTTTATGGTATGATTATTTTTACAAAGTGTTTGTTTTTAGCCAATAGGTCTTTTTTACATTTAGGACATTTTTTGACCAATTAGGTCGGTTTTGTCCTGTTTGCAGCTGTATTAAATTGACAAAGTTGATCTAATTGCCAAAAATGAAGTATATTTACAAAATAATCTAAATTAAGCATATGTCCTACTTTTCTAAATGGTCAAATTTGCCTACAACTGACTCAAATGGGCAAAATTGACCTAATTGTAAAAATTACCTCAACTTAGCAAAATAGTCTCAATTATAAACACTTGCCAGAGTGAAAGAAGTGAATAAATAGGACCACAAACGAATTATATTTGGCAAAATTGACCTCAATTGACCAAAAAAAGACCTGAATTGGACAAAATTGACCTAACTGAAAAAAATTATCTTAATTAAGAAAATTATCAAATTAAAAATACTTGTGCAAATGACAGAAATGGACAAAAAATGCCAAAAAGGATCTGAATTAGGCAAAATTGACCAAAAATGACCTAAATTTTTACAATTACCTGAACTAACAAAATAATCCAAATTAAAAAAAAAACTTGTCCAAATAATAGAAAAGAACAAAAAAGGCCAAAAATGTCATAAATTGGGCAAAATTGACCTATATTGACCACAAAGTACCTAAATGGGCAAAATTAAGTACTTGTCACAAGTACCTGAATTAACAAAATAATCTAAACCTGACCTGAATTGGGCAAAATTGACCAAAATTGACCTAAAATGACCGAAATGGGCAAAATGACCAAAATTTCTGAAATTTCCAAATTTTTAAAATTCATTGAATAAACTGTTCGAAAAAATTTTTTCTTAAATGAAAAATTTCTCAACATTGATTGGCTAAACGAGCTAGGTTATAATGCTTAAGTACACTGAATAATTTTGGTATCTCTTAATTTATTTTTCATTATTTTTCTTTTTATTCTTGAGATAACCGACTTGTGCTTGCAAAAAACTTTCTTCGACTTCGGGACGGAAGAGAGAATCGAAGATTTTGTTTTTCTCAGAGCTAAAGCAATTCCTATCGACAAAATTATTCCATTTTAACAAAGTTAAGTACTTGCAGAAGACAATTTACTCCATTTGCATCATTTAAGTTTCCACTGTCGTTTATTCTCAATTTCTCTCTATTTCTCTCACATACAAAATCGACAAAACGCCAACACTTTTCAATTTGATTCAATTAATTAAAAAAAAGAAGAAATAATTTTATTTTTTTTATAAAATTTTTTTTAATTAATTGAATGGAAAATTTGTTTTTTTTTCTTCTAACAATTATTATTCTTATCATGAAAAAAAAGTTTTCCTTCATAGGAATGTAATACTATTTTCTTTCTTTCTTTCTTTCTATCTTTTTGATATGCGATTCGAATTTTGCTGGCTCGGAAAACTCAATATATTTTTTTTTCTACTCTCGCTTCTCTGTGTTTATTTTTTCATTTTCTTCCCTTACAATTTTTTTTTTAATTTCATTTTTATTATTAAATATAATAATCACTACTTTATATACATTGCATACATAAGGCGAGACACTGGCTGTGCGAGAATTTTTATAATTTTTTTTTTTAATAATTTTTTTCCTTTTTTTCTCGCCACATTTTTTTTGTCAAAATGAAAAAGATCATCATCATTAAGAAAATGAAAAAAATAAATTTTTTCCCATGAATTTTTTTTTATCATTATTTACAGACGGAAATCTTGGGTAAAAAAATTTTTTTTCTTCCAATTTCTTATTTTTTTTTATACAAATTTTGACCTTTCCTTTTCGTTTTTTTTCTCATTTTTTTTTGTTTATTATTTTTTTTAAGCCGAGCGTTTATAAATTGTGTCAATACTGATAGAATTTTTTTTTATTTTACGTTTTCTTCTTTTTATATATATTTATATTTATTTATATATCATTATTTTATTATTATTTTTATTGAACTCTTTAGCGATAAATTTATCGATAGTGATTTATTTATTTATTTATTTTTTTTGAGGGAATAGTGGGGTTCAGTGAGGAGTTAAGGAAAAGGGCTTAAAAGTGCCCAAGGTGCAATATAATTGGTCGAGGGAAAATTTTTTTTTATTTTCTAGTCAACTAACGATATGCTCTTGGCTTGAAGGAGAAAGAAATTTTTTTTTTTTTTTTTTTGGATTCTAGTCAAAAAACTACAAGTTTGCTAATAACAATAATTTTTTTTTTTGCTTTTTTGATTTTTCTTGCGAGGCTTTGTGGAATTTTTCCGCAAAAAAATTCCTCGACCCTTTTATAGAAAATTAAATGCAAAATTGTGTTTTAGTGTAATTTAAAAAGTCAAAAATAGAAATTTGATTAGTTTCATTTTCTTTTTCAGTTTTTTTTTTTTAAATTGTGTAAAAAAATAAAAATTTTAGACAAATATATTGTGCAAAGCGAATTTTATACAAAAAAAAATATTAATCCGTACCAAAATTGGATTTGTACCAAAATCGGATCGTATTAAATTTGGTTCTATACCAAAATGGGGTCGTACCAAATTTGGTTCTGTACCAGATTTGATTCTGTACCAGATTTGATTCTGTACCAGATTTGATTCTGTACCAAATTTGATTCTCTACCAAAATAGGGCCGTACCAAATTTGTTTCTGTACCAGATTTGATTCTCTACCAAAACAGGGCCGTTTCAAATTTGGTTTTGTACCAAATTTGGTTCTGTACCAGATTTGGTTTTGTACCAAAATCGGTTCTGTACCAAAATAGGGTCGTACCAAATTTGATTCTGTACCATAATCGGATCGTACCAAATTTGGTTCTGTACCAAAATAGGGTCGTACCAAATTTGATTCTGTACCATAATCGGATCGTACCAAATTTGGTTCTGTACCAAAATCGGACCGTAACAAATTTGGTTTTCTACCAAAATCGAATCGTACGAAAATCTGGTACAGAAAAAAAAATTTCTGTTTTTTTAAAAAATATGGTAAAAATATTTTATATTTTATATTTTAAGAAAAAGAAACTAATCAGTTTTCTTCGACTTTTTTTTGTGTTAAATACTAGACAACGACAGAGTATAAGGTTTTTTTTTCTTTTTGCTATGTTGAACATCTAACTTTTTTTTTCTTTTTTTTTTTAATTAATAGATTTGCATCCAGTTAACCATTTCGCTATTTCTATCTTTTTGTCTCTCTCTCTCTTTCTCTCTCACAATAATAATTATGACGATTAAAACAAATCGCTAATATTTTCTTCACTGACGAATTTGAGCAAATATTTTTGACTCGTTTTTTTGTGTTTCATTTTATCAGTTTTTTTTCGCCTTTTTTTTTTGTTTTAAGTACTGGCCTTCGCTTTTTTTTATTTATTCTTATCACAGTTCTTGTTCTTCGACAATATATAATTCTTGTGCATTTGGATTTTTTTCTTGTTTTTATTAAATTTTTTTTTGTTTTGTATTTTCGTTGAAAATTTGAATTAATTTTGTTTTTTTTTGCGAAACTTTTTAATGTTGTGTAAAATTTTTACATTATTTTATATTTTTTTTTTAAGTATTTGTAAATTTAGTGCTGCGTTGATCGTTTTTTTTTGTATGGTGCGTATAAGATTTTATTTTTTTTTTTTAACGTGATGGTGAATTACAATAACTAGATTTTTTTTTCTACTATTTTTGTGCGCCTTCACTTTATTTAGTTATATTATTTTTTTGTTCATATATAGAAATTTTATTCAAAATCTTTAAAGTGATTCGAATAATATTAGGAGATCTACGTTGTTTATTGAAATTGAATTTTATTTTTAAGTAATTTGTTTGGAAATAAATTTTGTTTTTTTTGGGAAATAAAAATTTATTTTCATTTTTCTTTCGCTGAAAAAAAAATTCAACGATTATTTAACAATTTAAATAATAGTAATAATAATAATAATCATAATAATAATAATAATAATAATAATAATTATAATAGAAATAATAATAATAATGATAATTATAATAATAAATACAATAATAAATAAAGAATAATAAAATAAATTATATTTTGTAATTTAAAAAAAAAATTTTTTTCCTTAACACAAAAACTTTTTTGTAATTTAATTTGTACAAAAATTAGTCAGACGAAAAAATGTTTTTTTTCCTTCTCGGCAAAATAAAACAATTTTTTTAACAGCGAGAGAAATTAAAAATTGAGCACAAAGAAATTTTTGTTTTTTTTTTTTTTGCACAAAATTCGAAATAAAAATTGAAACAATTTCGTTTTTTTATCGAAGAGAAAAACAAATGCGTAAATTGAAAAAAGTTCCTCGAAGGCCTGAGCAGTTTTTTTCTTTCATTAATTTTTAAAATTTCTACACGATAAAAAAAAATTTACCTGAAACAGCGAAAAATTTCACTGGAATAGCGAAAGGATTTCGACTGAAACAATTAAAACTTTTTGAAACGTTTCGTTGTTCAAGGTAAATTTTTTATTTCCGTGTAATTTATTATTTTTATCGTTGATTTTATTAAAATTCGTTGAAAGAACTGTTTTTTTACTGCACATGAGACAATAAACGAGGTTCTACTGTATTGCATAAATTACAAAAAAAAAATAATTAAAATTCCACTTGTATTAAACACAAATAAAAAAGGCTCTACTTTTTTCGTAACAAAAGAAAAAACGTTAAATTTCTACATTGTATTAACAATTTCACAGGTTCTACTGTATTTGTTCTACTGGATGACAATATAGCAAAGAAATTTTTTGTCTCTTATTTACTGTACATTAACAGTTGAAAAGAATTTACTGCATTTGCCAGTTTCACAGGTTTTACTGCACTTGCCACTTTCGCAGGTTTTACTGTATTTACCTTTTTTTTTTGCATATTTTACTCTATTTACCATTTTTCGTAGGTTTTACTGTATTTACCATTTTCGTAGGTTTTACTGTATTCACCATTTTCGTTGGTTTTAATGCTTTTGCCATTTTCACAGGTTTTACTGCATTTACCATTTTTCGTAAGTTTTACTGTATTTAAACAGTTTTGAATGAACAGTATTTGCAAATTTCATTGTATTTACAGTTTCACAGGTTCTACTGTATTTGCAGTATTACAGGTTTAACTGCAACTATACAGGTTCTACTGCAATGAAAAAATTTCACTCCTATTGTATTGTCAATATTGTAGATTTAACTGTAATTACAATTTCACAGGTTCTACTGTATTGACAATAATACAGGTTCTACTGCACTGCAATTATTACAGATTCTACTGCTTTGACAATTATTACAGGTTCTACTGTATTGACAATTAATACAGATTTCACTGCACGAGGTTCTACTGTATTTGTTAATTTCACAGGTTCTACCGTATTACAGATTTGACTGTAACTATAATTTCACAGGTACTACTGTATTGACAGTATCACGGTATTTTTTTTTTACTGTATTGACACAAATTCTCGAGACAGTATTATTGCAAAACTTTCACTGTACTCGCAGAATTTCTTTTTTTGTACAAAAACAAAATTGTTTTGTAGTAAAAATAAACAAAAGAATTATTCACAAGTTTCCACTGTACCTACACAGGTTCTACTGTATTTACAAAAAAAATATATATACCGACAATAAAACAGGTCCAACTGTATTGTCAATAATAAAAATTTTCGACACTAAATTAATTAACTAATTAATTAATATCTTCACGAAATAATAAAAAAAAGAGATTCCCGTTTCGTTGATGACAAAAAAAAAACGTCGACAATTATTTTTATTATTATTATTTATCCGCGATTGACGTGTGTGTTTAATTGTGCGCAAACGTCATTATATCATAATCATTGTGTATTTGTTCGATAAAAATTGGCAATACTGTTGACAAACTCCTGACGCTATAATTGCACCTGAAATGCTTGCGTTGCATTGGGCATAATAAATGGATTTGTTTGTGCTGCTTGACGTAAATTGCGCGCAGCAATTTCTGCCCATTCAGCGTCAAATGGGTCTGTGGGACCGCGCGTTGATTGTGGTTGTTGTTGATGAAGTCCTGCCGAACCCAATGAGAGTGCACGCGAATGAAGTGGCGGTGCACGACGTTGATTCGATGGACATGGCGGTACTGATTGCACTGTTGGCGGTGGTGGTGGGGGTACTGAGCCCGTGACACTGCCCAACCACTGTTCTGGTTTTGGTAAGTCACCTGACGCCTGAACTTGTTCCACCTTTAATAATAAAAAAAAATGTTAATAAAAACAAAATATTTCTTTTAGAACATGTAATTTTTTGTTTGTACCAGAATTTAAGTTTGTGCCAAACTTTTCGTACCAACCAAGTTTAGTAGGATAAAGCAGATTTAGGAATAGTTCTGTACCAGATTTCATTCAGTACCAGATTTGGTTCCCTATTAGATTTTGCTTCTGTACCACATTTTGTACTATACCAAATTTTTGTTCTGTACCAGATTTTGCTTCAGTACCAGATTTGGTACTGAACCAAATTTTGGTTCTTTGCCAGATTTGGTACTGTACCAAATTTGGTTCTGTACCAAATTTTGGTTCTGTGCCAGATTTGGTACTGTACAAAATTTGGCTCTATACCAGATTTGGATCTGTACAAAATTTTAGTCCTATATCAGATTTAGTTCCCTACTAGATTTTGTTTTTGTACCAGATTTTGTACTGTACCAAATTTTGGTTCTGTACCAGATTTTACTTCAGTACCAGATTTGGTACTGTACCAAATGTTGGTTCAGTGCCAGATTTAGTACTGTACCAAATGTTGGTTTAGTGCCAGATTTAGTACTGTACCAAATTTGGTTCTGTACCATATTTTGTACTGTATCAAATTTGGTAGTGTACCCGATTTGGTACTGTACAAAATTTGCCTGTATATCAAATTTGAATCTGTACAAAATTTTGGTCCTGTATCAGATATGGTTCCCTAATAGATTTTGTTTCTGTACCAGATTTTGTACTGTACCAAATTTTGGTTCTGTACCAGATTTTGCTTCAGTACCAGATTTGGTACTGTACCAAATTTTGGTTCTGTGCCAGATTTGGTACTGTACCAAATTTTGTTCTGTGCCAGATTTGGTACTGAACCAAATTTGGTAGTTTACTCGATTTGGTATTGTACCTGATTTGGTACTGTACCAGATTTGGTACTGTACCAGATTTGGATCTGTACAAAATTTTGGTCCTGTACCAGATTTGGTACTGTACTAAATTTTTGGTTCTGTACCAGATTTGGCACTATACTATATTTGGTTCTGTACAAAATGTTAGTTCTGTACCAGATAAGGTACTGTACCAGATTTGGTTTTTTACTAGATTTGGTTTATTACTAGATTGTGGTACTATACCAAATTTGGTTCTGTACCACATTTTGCTTCAGTACCAGATTTGTTATTGTACCAAATTTTGTTCGTACCAAATTCGGTACTGTACCAAAATTGGATATTATTCAAATTGGTTCTGTACCAAATTTGGTACTGTACCAAAATCGGACTGTACTAATTTCAGTTGTCCCAAAATTTGTTCTTTACCAAAATTGGATCATGGAAATCTTTTGTTTGTACCAAATTTGGTTTAGTTTCAAAACTTACATTGGCGAGCGATTGACTTGCTTTAGTGGTGATTTGACTGACTTCACATGCAGTCGATGACTGTGCTGACGATACGGATGTGACACTTGCATTTGGTGAACTCGTCACAGATGCTGTGATTGGATTCACAGGAACTGGAGATCGATTTAAAATATGTGGCGCACCACTGCTCAATGATGATGTTGACGCAGTACTAAATGCGGGACTTGCTGCCGATGTACCAAATATGGATGTCACCGTTGTTTGTGATGGTGTACTCATGACAACTGATGTGATATTTGTACGCGGAAGCACTGGACTCAAATTGCAACTTCTATTTAAAATTGGCGTGAGTCTATTGTTTGTGGCGAGAATTGGTGATGATGATTCTTGCCAAACGTCTGCGGTTTGTTCGGAACCATTTTGCAGTTTTATGTCATCCAATGAGTTGCTGTTCGTTACTGAAAAAAAATGGATTTTTTTTCATGAATTTTTTAAAAAGAAGAAAGAGAGGAAAAATAATTGATAATGATATTGATTTTTGCCATTGAGAATAATTGATTTATTAAAAAATAAATGAAAAATATTGACAATTGAAAATTTAAGAAGCAAAATAAAATTCGAGGTGGGTAAATTTTAGGTTAGAATGATTTTATGGGGAATTTCTTTTGATTCTTGCCATTTAGTAAAAGCCGAAAAATCAAGAACCAATGATATATAAAAATATCTCTGGTTTTTACAAGCAAAAAAAATTTCGAGATTGGAGAAATTTTGAGGTTAGAATCATTTATGGGGAATTTCTTTTGTTTCTCGATTCTTGCCATTGATTAGAAGCCGAAAAATCAAAAACCAAAGAAATATAAAAATATCTCTGCCTTTTACAGGCAAAATAAATTTCGAGGTGAAGAAATTTGAGGTTATGACGTTTTTAATTCAAAGTACAATTATTTCCCGATCCTTGCCATCCATTAGAATGTAAAACATTAACAACCAAAGAAATATAAAAATATCTCTGGTTTTAACAAGCAAAATAAAATTCGAGGTGATGAAATTTAAGGTTAGAATGCCTAAAATAAAAAAAAATCCTTGTTCTCACGCCTTGATGTGTAAAAGCTATATCAAAGTTAAATAAAAATGATAAATCTCAATTTCTACAGAAAAAAAAAATTCCAAGCGTGTGAAATTGAAATTAGACCGCAGTAAAAAAACAACACCTTAACCAAACTAAAACCCGAAAAAAGGCAGGTAAACCAACCTTGAAGCGAGGAAGTCGTAGTGCTTGTGAAAAGTTGTTTTGCAACAGTGCTCGTGACAGCAATCATAGTTGTTGGTCCATAATCATCGTTACTCGATAGAAGACTAAGACCTTGTGTGACTTGTTGACACATGGCTGACAAACTTTCATGGCCACTTGGCGATATCTCCGGTATAGGGCTCACTAAAAATATTTTTGAAAAATATTATTCCAAAATTTTTGCCCAATGTAATTCATGCAAAATAAAAAAAACTATTTCTTTAAATATATAATAATAATAATTATCATTATTATTCTCTTCTTTTTTTATTATTATTAATATTTTTAATATTAATAATAATTGTGCTGCAGAGTGCTGATATGCCTACAAACAACATGCTTCACGACATAGAGTGCTGGTGATAAAAAAAAATATAATTCTTTCTTTTACAATAAACAGAGAATATATTGTTTGTTTTTAATTTAAAAAACAATTATTGTATTTATCATGTCGTATAATGATGTTTTTATGACAAAAACAAAGGAATAGTATCGATTTATCGAGATATTTTCGATAAGTCGAAATAGTATTGATATATCGAAATAGTCTCGATATTATCGAAATATCGATATATAGCAAAAGTATCGATTTTTTGAGATACTTTCGATATATCGAAGAAATAACGATTTATCGAAATAGTATTGACATATTGAAGAAGTATCGATATATCGAAAAAGTATCGATATATCAAAATAGTATCGATATATCGAAATAGTATCGATATATCGAACAAGTATTGATATATCGAACAAGTATCAATTTATCGAAATAGTATCGATATATCAAAATAGTATCGATATATCGAAATAGTATCGATATATCGAAATAGTATCGATATATCGAAATAGTATCGATATATCGAACAAGAATCGATTTATCGAAATAGTATTGAATAATCGAACAAGTATAGAAACATCGAAATAGTATCGATATATCGAACAAATATCGTTATATCAAAACTTTGTCTTGACTATCAATATCGAATTCGTGAGTTGCAAGATCTGTACATTCATCGATATAATCGATTTTGTGAAAAGTTTGTTTCTTTTTCAAAGTAATCTTTACTACTACTTTTTTAACTACTTGGACCTACAGTAATATTAAAATTCGGGAACGATTTTATAAAATAATAATAATTATTATTATTATTATTAATTATTGAAATTCCTATAATTGAAAAATTGTATTTAAAAAAAAAAATTTATTTATCTTTTTTATTTAGAAAAATTTTTGTTTATTTGACAAAATCGATCCCAATAGTTATTACTATTTTAATAAGTTTAAAAAAAAATTTTAAAAAAAAATCATAAAACATCAAATTTAAGGGTGGCAAGCAGGCAATTAATATTGACGAAAGAAATTAGGTAATGACCTTCGTCATATCCATCGAATTCTGTTTTGTCAACGGAAACAAAAACAAACAAAAAAAATTTTATATTATTAATAATTATTTTCAAAAATTTTCCCTAATTTTTATATTTAAAAAAAATTATAAATATTTATTTCCTAATTATAGTAATTTTTTCTATATTTATATTTAAAAAAAAAAAATTTTTTTTTCCTTTTAATTTAAAAAATTAAAAATAAAAAAAATTCTCACCTGGTGGTTTCAGTGGTAAAAGATGTGACAATGCTGGCATTCGTGAAAGATCCGTTGGCTCTAAACTGTGACTTCGCGTGCGTTCTAAATTACTAGGAAGATCACTAATACGTAAACTTAGCTGTCGCTTAAATGGTGAGGCTTGATTTAATTGATTAAATCCGCGAAACGATCCTTGTCTCTCTAACATTGATGGTGTTGCGTGGGGCCTTTCAATTGCAAATGGATTATAGACGGGTTTCACTGGAGGTACATCTAAAAAGAAAAAAAAAATATTAATATAGAAACAAAAAATTTCAGAAAAATTAGTTTTGTGCCAAAAAATTGGTTGTATCAGAATTTAAATAATAAAAACATAGATTTTATGCCAAAACTTTGGTTGTACAAATTTTTGAATATTTCAAAATTACTTTTGTACCAAAATAGGACCGTACCAGATTTGATTCTGTATCAGATTTTTTTTCTGTGCCAGATTTAATACTGTACCAGATTTCTTTTGTAACAGATTTGATACTGTACCAGATTTTGTTATGTACCAGATTTGGTTTTGTAGCAGATTTGACTCTGTACCAGATTTATTTTGTACCAGAATTATTTTATACCAGATTTTTTTTGTACCAGATTTTGTTATATACCAGATTTTGTCATGTACCAGATTTTATTCTGTACCAGATTTGGTTCTGTACCAGATTCTGTTCTGTACAAAAATCGGGCCGTTCCAAATTTGGTTCTGTGCCAGATTTTTTTCTTTGCCAGATTTGTTGCTGTACCAGATTTCTTTTGTACTAGATTTGATACTGTACCAGATATTGTTATTTACTAGATTTGGTTCTGTACCAGATTTTATTCTGTACCAGTTTTGGTTCTGTACAAAAATCGGGCCGTACCATATTTGGTTCTGTGCCAAAATCGGATCGTACCAAATTTGGTTCTGTAAAAAAATTGGGCCTGTAACAAAATTGGTTTTGTACCAAATTTGGTTCTGTACTAAAATTGGATCGTACCAAATTTAGTTTGAACCTAACTTGGTTCTGTACCAAATTCTGTTCTGTACCAAAATCGAAACGTACCAATTTGCTTCAGAACCAAAATGCGATCATACCAAATTTAGTTTGCGCCAATCTTGGTTTGTACCAAATTTCTTTTAGTACCAAAATTAGATCAAATTAATTTATGGTTTGTACCAGAATTGAATTGTACCAAATTTTTACTCTAGAAAAAAATGTACGAAATTTGCATTGTATTAAAATAAATTTTTGTTCACTTTTTTATTGATCGAATATGGACTATTACTGTGGGTTTTTTTTGTTGTAATATCGAAAAAAGAAATAATTTTTTGAGGTTAGTTTCAAAAAAAATGAAATGAGATAAAATTTTACTGACCAACGGCCCGTTCTCGTGAATCTTGTAGCCTTTCGGTAAGGCTCGGTTGCCTGAAGCTGCCACTTCTTGTAAAAGTCGACGTCTTAGAGTCGAAGGTCATTGTAACTCCACATTCTTTGTCTCGACGTTGTTTCCTTTCTAAACAGGCTGCAAACGCACATCCCACTGCGTGACTCAGTCTTTCACCCTGTGAAAGGAATCGATAATTAATTGCAATGATAAAGAAAAGAAAACAATCGTGCCATTTAGAACAATCCATATATTGTCGATCGATTGGGAAATTTCAATTATTCACATTATATTTTACAATTCGAGGTGAGGCAAATATATACTATCGATTCTTGCCACTGAATAGAATTTAATTAAAAAGAAAAAAACGAAAATTATCAATATTAGTCGATTTTTGAGGGTAAAAAAAATTCGAGGTGGAGAAAAATGAGGTTAGGTTTACTTGTGAGAACGACACAGTGGTTTATCGATTTTTGCCATTATGTAGAACCCAATAGAACCAACAGAAACTAAAAATATCGATTTTCGAGAATTTTACAGCAAATTTAAATTTTGAGGTGGACAAATATTTTGAGGTTAGATTAAACAAAATTGTTTAAATCGTGTTTATTCACTTATTTTCTGTATAAAAAGAAATTAAGTGATATTAAAAAAATTGTAATAGAAAAAAATGGCAAAAATAATATTCAATTTATAAAAAAAATAATATTAATTAAAAATAGAAATAAATAAAAACTAATAATGAATAAAATAGTATTTAAAAAAAATTAAAAATTATGAAAAAAAAATCTGACTTACCGACTCCTTGAGAGCGAGAAATCCATGACACATCCACCGTCTGGTGGTGCCATCTCGACATATATAACTGAAACCCTTTTCATGATTTCGATCTGGAGCACAAAACGAGACTTTTTCTATCGTTTGATCGACGAGTAGACCTTTTGTTTCATCCTCGACTACCCTTAAACCATCGCCGGAAACATGAAGGGTGGCCCTGATGGGTTTCCGTCTCGAATTCTGCAAAATCAATATTCAATCAGACTTTTTTTTCATTCTTTTTTCTGCAAAATAAAATTCAACAAAATTTTATGAAAAATAAAATAAAAATTATTGAAAAAAATGTAATAAATATTAAAAATATTAATAAACAAAAAATTTATGAATATTAATAAAAAAATTTTACATTTAACAAAAAAAAGGAAATTTATTAATTTTTAGTTAATTAAAAATTTATTATAATTTAATTTTTTTTTTTTTAATTAAATTTTTTGATTCTATTTTCTAATTTTTAGTTTCAAAGTAATTTTAACTGTAAAGAGAATAATTATATAAAATTTTTCAAGATGAAGAATTTAAAATGAAGAATGACGCACGATGCGTTTAAATTTGTAATTTTTCACGGCTATTTAAATTCACGTATATAACTTTGTGGGAGTCGTTCTAAAAATGAAAGTCAATTTACACAAAGGGGAACATTTGAAAGGCCAAGAAAAATGAAACAATCAGGAAATATTTTTCAATTAGGTAATTTTAATTAATTTTTTTTTTTAGTTAAAAAGAAAATAAAAATTATGAAAATAGAAAGAAAATTTATTTTTTAGTAAAAACAGTAAAAATTTTAAAAATAGAAACAAAATTAATTAATGTAAAAAAAATATTTTTTCTTGACGTAAGAACAATTTTTTTTCCTCACTTACCCTAAGAACCTTTAAGGCTTCCTCGCAAACTTGCATTCCCCTCGATTCGAAAACTTCTACACAACCTAAGTACTGTAAAAAAAGAAAATATTAAAATTAACCTCAAAATTTAATAAAAAAAAATTATTATTATTATTAATAATAATAATAAATTATTTCTTTTTAATTGTTCACTTGTAAATTTTCACTTCTCCAAATATTATCACTTAATATTAATTTTTGTCAAATTGTCAGCCATGTAAACTTCTGAGGTGGAGCCATTTTGAAAATTTTTATCGAATTTTGATAAATAATGCAGAATTTTTATGGTTCACACGTCAATTTTCACCTCCCCGAATTCTATCACTTAATATTAATTTTTATTCAATTGGCAGACATGTAAACATCTCAGGTGGTGCCACCTCGAAAGTTAAATATCAAATAACTACCATAAAAGTCAAAAATAGAGGTTAAAATTTGCAAAAATTATTAACTTACAATGGCAAAAGTTGTTTTGAATATAAGAAAAAAATTACAAGTAATTAAAAATAATTAAAATATGCAAAAATCGAAAAAAGTGAGGTTAGGTTTTGCAAAATTTAAAAAAAGGACACTAAAAAAATTGAAAATTAAAAAAATAAGATAAAATAATTGAAAATCAAAAAATTAAAATAAAATAATTAAAAAATTATTATTCCTTGCCTTAACGTGAAATTGACAAGTTGCCGATCTAACGGCACTTTCATCAGCTTGCCACTGATGTGGTTTACTCGATTCCGGAACATGTGGATCTTTTCGTCTTCGAAAACTCTCACGAAAACTTCTCCTAAGACGCTCCATTCTTTTACCCGGAGATCTCTCCCTTTTCTGCAAAAAAAAAAACCAAAATTAGTCATCAATTTTATTAAATAATAAACAAATAGTAATTTTAATAGTAAAATTAATTTTTTAAAACCTTACAATTTTTTTCAAAAATTCTTGCCATCGAGAAGAATACATAATCTCAAAAAAAAAAAATAATTAAATAATTCCAATAACCGTGAATTTTACCCTCAAAAGAAAACTCGAGGTGGAGATTTTTTTTAGGTTATGTCAACAAAACTCTCAAATTTCAAAAGAAAGTAATTATAATATAGAGTGGGGAAAAAAAATTATTTTACCACCATCTCGAGACTAATTAGTGACGAAATAATAATAATAATGATAAAATAATAATAATAATGATTTTTTGATGATGTAAATTAATTTTGACGATAGCACAAGTGAAATTGATTATTTTTAATGATAATTAGCGAATTGGTTGGTAATTAGAGCAATTAAAATGAGGTTATGTAATGGTTGACAACTGCAAACGTCGTTATAACGAGGCTGGTTAATTACGTGGGTGAACGATTAGTTTCACAAAAGGGAGAGGGAGAAGTGGAGGGTTGGTGAACACGATGAAAGTGGTGGTGAAAATGACGAGATGCAGTTTACGCTACTCCTATGGTCATATCTCTCGTATGTATCTGACACCTCGTTTCCCCCCCCCTCTTTATCTCTCCGCATACGATATAATATTAAATAGATCACGTGTCTTTCAGTCACATGCCACGTATCGATTCCTCCGTTGGGAATTAAAATCTCTTGAATGCCACACATATATAACTTCCAATAACGTGACTCTTAACATAGAAGTATATTTTAAAATTAATTTTTTTGAAAAATTAACATAACCTAATTTTCATTTTTTTTTTTTGCATTTATTAATTACAGTATTTACCAATATTGATAAACAATGTAGAATCTTCATGGTTCAGTCGTCAATTTTCGCCTCTCCAAATGTTAGCACTTAATATTAATTTTTGTCAAATTGGCAGCCATGTAAAATTCTGAGGTGAAGCCATTTTAACAATTTTTATCGAATTTTGTTAAACATTACAGAATTTTCATGGTTCATACGTCAATTTTCCCCTCCGGAAATATTAGCATTGAATATTAATTTTTATCAAATTGTCAGGCATGTAAACTTCTCAGGTGGAGCCATTTTGAAAATTGTTAATTGAATTTTGATAAACAATGCAGAATTTTCATGGTTCACACGCCAATTTTCACCTCCCCGAATTTCATCACTCAATATTAATTTTTATCAAATTGGCAGCCATGTAAACTTTTGAGGTGGAGCCATTTCGACAATGTTTATTCAAAACTTTTTTTTTTAAATATATATCTTACAATATTGCAAGAGAAAAAAAATATTTTTATACACAAATTAAATAAGAAATTTAAAAAAAGTGAGGTTAGGTTTAAAAAAAATCGATAATTTTTAAAGGGGGAAGTTTGTCAATCTTGTGATTAAAGATTTATTGTTAAATTATATAATGCCAGGTATTTTTACAGGTTCCCATAAGGTTCACGACCCCGACGAATCACTAATGTCCATTTTTTGAGAGAGAAGTTTATATAAGTACCGAAGGGAGACGGACCGTTGTCTCATAACGTCCAACTCAAAGCCTGTGATCGAATCTTGAAGCCGGTTCCCAAAGATTCTTTTATATCAGAACCCCTCCAAGGTCTCTCCCCTAATTCGTAACCACGGATCTACCCCTCTAATAGGCACCCCTCGCGCTTAACCGTCGGGTCGAGACGCTCAATCCAATACAATATACACATAGGATTGAGAATTTCTTTTCTATTGCCCGCTGTGAGACGAGTTAATATTAAATCCCTTTTTTTTTCTTTTTTCAATATAAGATAAGTCATCAATATCATAAAATCATTGAAAATGGTTTTCTCTCATCTCGAAATTTAAATTTTTAATAAATCTGAGAAAAATTATTAAAAATATTTTATCATCAATTTGATACATTCTAGAAGATGGCAAGAGTAAGTAACGTTTTGGAGAATTTGTTTTTATTCATTTCTAAATGAAAAATTTCGTATGAAAAGTTATGGATTTTGAGGTTAGGAAGGAATGGAACTTGAAATTTTGATGTTCTAATTGATTTTACCCGATAATAATTTCGTAAAGTTACGAAAATTGACAAATTTTGGCAAAAATTCCCCCAACCTCGAGATTTAAAATTGCGATAATTTACACAAAACTAAATGAAAATTTACTGTCTTGAAATTTGTGAATTCTACGTAGTGGCAAGAAATTATTACAATTTGCAGAATTTAATTTTCTTATTTCTAAATAAAAATATTATGGAAAAACTCGTAAATTTTGAGGTTATGTACATATAGAAATGATAAATTGGAACAAAACAGTTAAATTTAGAAAAATAAATAATTTCAATAGTAAATAGTAATGGAAAATTAATATTATCAATTAGTAATTTGCAAATTTTAAGGTTATGTTCGTATAGAAATGGGAAATTGTGACAAAACAGGAGGAAAACGGTTCAATTTAAGTAAATAAATAAATAATTTCTGGCAGTAACTTTCAAAAACTCGTATTTTTAAAAAAAAATCCAATTTTAACCAAAATTCTCCCACCTCGAGTTTTAAATTTGCGATAATTTACACAAATCTTGATGAAAATACATCGCCTTGGTCTCAATAGAATCAGTAAAATGGCAAGAATAGATGCCAAAATGGAAAAAAAAATTTACTCATTCACAAAAAAAGATACAATGAAAAAACTCGAAAATTTTGAGGTTATGTAAGTATAAAAACGGGAAAATTAGCAAAAACAATAATGAGAAAAGTTTAATAACATCTTACGAAATAATAACCATGTTGATTTCAAGGTTCCAGATAATTTCTACATGAACTCATTTTCTTTTTTTTGTCTATTAACAAGTCTCGTTAAAGAAAAAAAAATTACAAATAAATAATTAAATTCTCACACTATTGTTATTTATATATATACAATTTAATGACATATGAAATCATTGAGGCGCGAACAAATCAGGATAAAAAAAGAAAAAGAAAAAAAGAATTCAAGACCTTTTTTCCTATACGGCTCGTTTATTTTTATCTTCCATTATTTAATCTCCTTTTATAAGATTGTCGATGTGATTCTATAAATAAATTACTTCGACAAAGACATATTTAAAACGCTCCTTACAATAATGACCGAGTTATTGGAATTTTTTTTTTTTACCTTTCACTTAATCTCAGATAACTCGATGATAATTAAATGAAATTTAATCGACAGCATGTGTTTGGAATACGTTTTCTTCTCATCTCTCTGAAAAAATGGTGGACAGAAAATGTTTTTTTTCACAGCTTTCAAAAATAAACAAAACAAAAAAAAAATAGGAATATCAATGACAATTGCCCTAATGGTTAAAACGTGCGAAAGTAAGCACTCTCAATGAAATCGGATTAGCATGTTTACTTAGCAAAGTAATAGGCTTAAACCATTCTTTGAGTTTAGAAATAAAAATAGTCGCGTGTGTATTACGAGAGTGTGAAACATATACACTTCTATAAACGTGAACGAGAGCACACACAATCTGCTCCACTTCAATTACAAAAGACCTTATCATTGAGCCCGATGCAAATAAGCACGTCTGTTCTGGTGATGATAAAAAAAAAAAAAAAATTCTGCATCCGAAGGGGGAGGATTTAATGTAAAAATAATTATTTATATAATAATTTCTCATTTCTTGTTTCTGTGTAAGTAAAAACCAAATTCCAAAAGTATTTCTGACACATTTTTTTAAGTCCAAAAGTATTTTTGACCAATTTTTTTGTAGGTCCGAAATTATTTGTTACTTATAATTTTTACAAGAATTTAACTGTTTCTGACTTATTTTCTAAAAGTCCAAAAGTATTTCTGACCAATTTTTTTGTAGGTCCGAAATTATTTGATACTTATAATTTTTACAAGAATTTAACTATTTCTGACTTATTTTCTAAAAGTCCAAAAGTATTTCTGACCAATTTTTTTGTAGGTCCGAAATTATTTCTGACTTCTAGTTTAACAGGTCCAAAAGTATTTCTGACTTCTACTTTCTGATAGTCCAAAAGTATTCCTGACCTTTTTTAAAGGTCCGAAAGTATTTCTGACTTTTATTTTTATATGTTCAAAAGTATTTCTGACTTATACTTTCTGAAAGGCCAAAAGTAATTCTGACATATATTCTATAGCTCCTAAAGTATTTCTGACAGTTTTTATTGGTCCAAAAGTATTTCTGACTTGTAATTTTTACAAGTCTTAAATTATTTCTGGCTTATATTTTCTAAAAGCCGAAAAGTATTTCTGACTTATACATTCTGAAAGTCCAAAAGTATTTCTGACTTAAATAGTTTTAAGTCCAAAAGTATTTCTGCCATTTTTCATAGGTCCGAAACTATGGCTGACTTCTATTTTTACAGGTCGAAAATTTATTACTGACATTTTATATAGGTCAGAAAGTATTTCTGACTTATACTTTCTAAAAGTAAAAAAGTATTTCTCACTTATATTTTTTATGTCTCCAAAAGTATTTCTGACCTATAATTTTTAAAAATTCCAAAAATATTTTGGATTTAAAATTTTTTTCAACTCCAAAAAATAGTTTTTATAAAAATCAAAAAAACGATTTATTTATTATTATTATTTATTATTTATTATTATTATTTTTTTTTATTATTTTCTATCGCAAATGATAAGTGTTACAATGTCAAATTGTCAATTAAAAAGGTGACATAATAAAATTGATATCACTTTATAACACACTTGGGTCAATTAAATTAAATTCTCTTAACGATTCTATAATGATAATCTTCCCCCCTTATTCTTTCACCCGGACGTTAATAAAAATGCGAGCTTTGCCATTTGGCCACTTGATTCAATTCCATCTGTGTGATACATTTTCATTCGAAAATTTCCGACGACCCGCATTATTGACCCTTTATTGTTATGTAACTCTTTATCCTCTTTACCCCCTCTCTAT